GAGAGAGAGAGAGAGAGAGAGAGAGAGAGAGAGAGAGAGAGAGAGAGAGAGACCCTGTCCCTAAATGTGACCTTGTCTATCTCCAGTATTATTTTGAATCTTTGTGCTGTGCAGAAAATCAGACCGGTGCACATTTTTGAAAGACTAGCCATGCAAAGGAGGATGAGTACTTGCCTTCGTCCCCGTCTTTGAAAAGCAAAAGACGGTGAGAAAAAAAAAAAAAGCAAAACAAGACAAAAGCAAAGGATGAGCTCGCTACCAAGGAACGGCAAGCAGACGTACGTCACAAAAACACCAAAAAATGGACCCACCTGCGCAGGCGAACTCCTTCTTCTGCACCTCGGCCACGTTGTGCCCCCGCAGGTGCGGCGGGGCCATGCACTGCGTGTAGAGGCCCAGGCGGGGGCGCTGCCGCAGCCACTCCGACAGCCAGGCCACTTGGCAGTCACACTGCAGGTTGTTGGAGTGCAGGCGGCTGGTGGGGGGGTGGACAGAGAGTGTGTGATGATACATTCAGGGAGGCAGGGATACATGGAGTACATGTCGATCAATCGGTTGCACGAACGGGCGCGGACGAGAGGAATGCGTTTGCTACTTACAAGGTCCTGAGCTTGGGCATGTGGTTGAAACTGGCCACGGACAGTCGGCTGATGTTGTTGTTGTTGAGGGTGCTGGGGAGAGAAAAGGGAGAGTGTCAATTTGGTCTGCAGTGACAGGGGTCGCAGCTCGAAGACACAGAGAGGAGGCTCAGTCGGCACAGCGAGGGAGCGGGGGGGGGGCTGCTGCTGAGCATGATGCAGTCAGTGTAAGTTAACGGCTTTTCGGTTAAGTTCTCGATAACCACCACATTTGTCCGTGACTCAGCCCGACAAGGTCCAGCCACTGACGAGCTCTCCTATCAGCCGACTCATTTGATTAAAACCATCTTTGCCTTTCTGTCAGGTACAACAATGAAAACAGAGTTGAGTCATTCACTCTTGAATTGTTCAGGATGGGCAACAACTGAACTGACACTGAAAGCGGACACAACAGTGTCTTTTTCAAAACAAACAAAAAATGAGCACGACCCACCTGTAATTTATGAAATGATAATATATTTTCTTTTTACTTTCAAATATTGTAGGTTGGACAACAGAAATAATTTGATGTAAACTCGATTCTACTCATAAATCTTTACTCATAAATCAGTTCGGCATGTATACACGGAGCAAATGATCTGTCATTTTAACTTCTAAAATCAATCCGTCTTCGCCTCACGATACGATGAAAGCGAATATCTGTCGTTGCGCCTCTCAGTCAGGCTGACGAGGAGTCTGTACGGCGGCTCTGTGATCTTTAATTCATCATAAGAAGAGGTGATACTCCGTGATCGTGCCATTCATGAATACGTATGTCCTTTTATTTTTCAGGAGCCGCAAAGCAGCCCTGCGAAGGTCAACGAGGGCGTTTCGGCGGCTGAGAGGACGGGTACTCACAGCACTTCCAGGTCACGCAGCGCTCGGAAAGCCCCGTCTTCGATGCAGCTGATGTGGTTGTAGTCCAACTGGCTGCACACACACACACACACACACACACACACACACACACACACACACACAAAAGAGAAAAGAAAAGAAGCTGTTACAAGACTTGTCAATATATTATCAGGTGAAATTCTCTCTCCGTCTCCCTCACTCACTTTCTCCTCTGCTTTACTTCTGTCTCCTGCGCTCATTGTTCTTTTGTGTCTTTCCTCTTTCCCTGCTCTCTTCTATGTGACGCCTAATTTGTACTCGACGCTCTTTACCTCCTTCCCCCTTCTCTCTCTCTCTCTCTTTCTTTCCCTTATTCTCTGAATCGCTTTGTTGAAACAATTTAATTAGGACGTCAAATCATGTGCTTTCACCCCCGTGCTAATGCAGGCGCACACACTGCCCTGTCCTTTTACAATGGCATTTCAAAAAAAACATCTGATGTAGAAAAAAACTAAAATTACAGCCAAATAGTCTTAAAAAAATCCATATTTCTAGAATTACCGCTGGGCAATTACTCTACCTGTGAAATTACCAATAATTATCTTCAATCATCATAACTAGAACTGAGGCCAAACACAGAGAGAAAACAACGGAAATGCCATTGGCGTGACCATGGAGTGGCGCACACACACACACACGCACACACACACGGCTGCTAACGAGCAGCGGTGCCAGTCAATACAGCAAGCAGGAGGCCCATGACATTTAACACAATGAAATATTGATGCGCCCCCACATGGGCCTTGTGCACACATTGGAAAGCAAGTTGTGCAGATGTGTGCGCGCACGTTTATCGCATGCGCGGGAAAAAGTACCGCCAAAGTGCCACTTACAGGTTCTTGATCTCCACGGCTCCCCTGAAGGCTTTCCTCGGGACCCCCTGGATCTGGTTCTCGCTGAGATCCCTGGGACAGAGAGAGTGAGGAAGGGTGAGGAGAAGAAGAAAAGAGGAGGGAGGAATAAAAAGAGCAGAGTTAAGCCGAGCTGTCACGGAGTCACTTGCTTTGCGGCACAAGTACTTGATGTAATCACCTAAATACGGCAGGGCGGTGGGGGAGGGGGGGGGGGGGGATTTCAGAGCCAGACGGATCATCTGCAAAATTGAGTTCATTCCACGCAGAGCGCCAAATGTAATCGGCTGTCTCTGCTCGTCTCTCGATGTCACAAACCCTATGATGGGTGTCCTCAAATCTGGAGCAAGGCGCAGTCTGACCGTCTGCTTTTTGAACATCCGTCCCACTCAGGTATGAGGGGCGCTTGAACGACCTGCAGGGGGCACTGGTGACCTACACTTCCCACGAGGCTTCCTATTCCTCCCCCACCACCCCCTCCTCTTCCTTCCTTTTGCTTTTAATGACTGAGTGATGGATGTACGATGGAGTTTACAGAGATTTAATTTTCAGCCACTTTAACTAAGCCGCAGCTCGGAAAACAGCAAAACAAGGAGACAAATTCAGTAAATTGACTGCAGTTGGCGACACACACGTGTTCCTCTGCGTAAACTAAATCCACCGGCTGCAACCGAGTGAAATACTCGCTATCGCTGGTTGGTGTAGCAACTTGATTTAGTCAAGGACACGCACATATAAGTTCTGAAGGATGTGCACACAAATAGTTAAATTAAATGAGGCTTTAACGCAGATATCAATAAAATGTGGTTAAGTAGAAAGGATGGGAACGGATTCAGCTGTCTGGAGGGACAAACAAATCATCATCTCTGGAAACAGGACATCTTAACGGTGTTTGAGTGTATGTGTGTGTGTGGGTGGGTGCGTGTGAGGTCCACCGCCTATACACACCCAAGCTCCAGACAAGACCGTTTGACCCTTCACCGCTGGCCCTCCAGCTCTTGACCCTGGCTGTGGCGACGTGACCTCCAGCGTGCTAATCGGCTAACAGCTAATGCCCAGCCACATTCCTCACATTCCTGGGTGTGTGTGTGTGTGTGTTTACGCATGTATGTGTGTGATGGTATAAATCAGTCCGGCAGGTATCATCCGTCTCCTGTGTTTCCACCTGCTGCTTCTGTACCAGCATCTGAAGGCTTTGTTGCAAATAATAAAGAAAAATGACTCGAGTGTTTTTTGTTCTTGAAGATTTTCTTTTGAGGCCTTTATGTTCAACTGAAAAGACCAAACTAGTCGCTTTAATGCAATCAAAGGTGCAGTCTTTGGGAGGACGGGCTAATCTTTTGATTGACAGCTGAGACAGCAGGGGCACAAAGACATAAACACACCTTCTCTGGAAACTGCAGCTTGTTAGCAAAGGGACAGATGTTTGCGGTGGTAGTGGGGAGGTAAAGGACCTCAACATTCTAACCAAACGGGGAGAGTCGCTGCTTTCTGCAAATACAATTGAATACAAAACCATAAAAATGTCAAACATTTTGTGGTTCCGGCCTCTCAAACGTGAGGAATCGTACATTTTTGGAGTTTGGACAGTTCGGTTGGACAAAAAAACTAGCTGAAGACATCAACTGTGGCTCTGAGAGGGGCAAAATAAATGATGCGCGTAATTCAAACAACCCACAGACCTAAAATGTAACGTAATGTAGCGTCACTAACTAATTTAATTTCATCTGGCTTTCACATGTGCAACCATACCTGCCTGCACACGCATGCACGCACACCCACACACGCTGCAAGCTCACGTCATGTTTCACTGCTCGGTAATGCCCGGATCAATCAACACGATCCTGGAATAAGACTCTGCAAATAGAGGAAGATGAAAAAGAGGCTTCACTTGTTGCTGTTTTTACACACACACACACACACACCTACAGACACACACACATGGGCTTCTCCTCATGGCTGGTCTAAATGAAATAGAGTGTATCCTGATACTGTTTTTACAGGACGGGAGGCAGGGGGACCTCTAAAGCCAAATAAACAGTGAGAAACACACACGGCAGAGCATGTAACCTGCATCCCCCTTCATCTGCCTATCGGATGCAGGAATCAGTAAAAGCTCGTTCATGTGTCACATGTGAGGAGCTGACAGCTTGACGGTTTGTGCGTTCACGTTTTATGCCGCACTCGGACCTCGCTTTCAACGGCGGCACGCGGTCGGTTAATGTTGTTAACATGTTCACTTGGGAGCACGCAAGTCACCTCCACAGCTATTGCCCCATACAAAGGTGGTGTACAGTGTGTGTGTGTGTGTGTGTGTGTGTGAGACATAAACATTTATCTCCTGATGTACTGAGGTGATTGGAAATTGATTTTCCACGTCCCTCTGTCGACGAGAGAGAGATTTCACACACTCTCACCCACATGTATACACATGTGATTGGCAGTTTGTGTTGGTGTGGCACTATTCATCACTCAGACCACCAGAGAGGGAGAGAGAGAGAGAGAGAGAGAGAGAGAGAGAGAGAGAGAGAGAGAGAGAAAGAGGGTGAATAGCACGTTCTCCCCCTATGAGGAAATTGACTTCTTAGGGACTTAGGAGTGGATTTTCTTTCTCTGTTTTGTGCCAAGACACCTGATTCACTTCAATCTCTAGTTAAACGGTTTGGTAGATGTCACACCCGCCACTTTCCCTCCCCCGCTGGCTTCGTCTTTCCCTCATCCCTTTCCATAGGTCTTTTCTCTCTCTCTCTCTCTCTCTCTCTCTCTCTCTCTCTCTCTCTCTCTTCCTCTTTCTCTGAAATCGCTCCTGGTTTTGGACTTCCCCAAAGTTTAACCCCTCACCTCTGCCCCTGTGCCTATACCGGGAGGTTACCCTCATTAAAAAAGGCTCCTGCTGAGCGCAGTGTGTGTGTGTGTGTGTGTGTGTGAGCACATGCTTGTGTGTTTTTGTTTGAAGGGGCCGGAGGTATTAAATCCACACAGGAACTATATCACGCTGCTAAGTTAAGAACCTGAAACACACACACACACACACACGCATGCATGCACACACGCGCACACACACACACACACACACAAGGTTGCTAAAAACTGACAGATGTCAGCTCAGTGCCCTGATGCAAAGTAATCATGATGAAATATTATTTTTGAAATATTAAATATTATTTTTGTTTTGGTTCTGAGAACCAAAACAAAAAATATGCAAACTTGAACAGCTATAAAAAAAAAGATTTAACCTGCAGATACTGAGAAATGCATCTCCAACTAATGTTGGCTGTGATGCAAAATAGAAGACAAAGAACAAGAAGAACAAGAAAAAGAAGTAGACAAAGAACAACAACAACAGGAAAAAGTAGAAGAACAAGAAGTAGAAGAAGAAGAACAACAAGAAGAGATTCATCACTTTTCATACTGTTTCACTGTGGGCCTGAGATCTTTGTGAAAATTTGTCCAAATCGTGTTTACGTGGTCTTTTTCTAAATCTACTGACCTTCCTCTTTGTCCGTTTTTCTCACCTCTGGTGGCCCAGGATGTGTGTGTTTGTGTGCGTGTGTTTGTGTGTGTGTGTGTGTGTGCGTGACAGAGTCAGGTCTCCAGTGTTAAGAGCTTAGTGCTGCTTTTCTAAAGGGCCTTTTCAGAGCGAGAGGGGCTTTTGACGCCCCGCGCGTCTAAGAAGACCTGGGCATGAAAGACCAGCACTCAATTCTCACACATGCACCCCTCATCCTCCCTCTCCTCCCTTCCACTCTGCTATTTCTCTCCCACACTGGACACACACACACACACACTCTCTCTCTCTCTCACCTACTGTTATACCCCACTGCCACGAGATTCTTCCCAGCAAAAACACGAGATTCTTCCAGCAAAACTGCGTGTGTGTGTGTGTGTGTGTGTGGCAGGGTTTAGCCCGGAGTTGGCAGAGCAGTAAACTAATCATCTTGTTCAAATCCCTTTCGGAGACCTTAATCCTATTAAGTGTAAGAATGTGTGAATTGGGCGAAGAGGGAGCTGGAAGAAAAAAAAGGGAGAGAAAGTGAGGAAGAGAAAATGTGAATTGAGGAGATACAGTGAGACGGATGCTTTGCAGGGGAGAAGGAGCGGGTCTGGAGTTTTGATGTCTGGGACGGGATGGCATGAGGAAAGTGTGTGTGTGTGTGTGGACCCTTCAGCTAATTCAGGGAGCAACGCGTGAAGTGGACCCCCAAAGATCACACTTCTGTGAGCAATTAGGAGGAGAAAGACGCCCCTGAAGAAAAGAGAGGAGGCGAGAGGGGGAGGAGGAGGAGGAGAGGAGAGGAGGAGACAATGCGGAGGATTACTGGACACACTGGGGCAGCGCCGGCACCTGGGAATGTAGAGGAATTCGACGGCATGTCCTGGAGATCTTGGGTGGCAGACTTTTTGAAAACTGAGTGTGTGCGACATGGACAAAAATCACTTCTTACTATTTGAGTTATTATGCAGAATCACACACACACACACACACACACACACACACACACACACACACACACACACCTCGTCTTTCAGCCGCGCTCTTCTAAACTAATATTGGCTTTGCTCGTGAACGATGGATCAGCGGTCTTCTTCTCTTCCCCCCTGTCTCATTGTCTGTTTTCTTTATTCCTCAGCACGCCTCGTGCACACACTTTAAATGCCAGGTAAGATGGTTGCTATGGTTACCAGACCAGAGTGGACACCTGGGGGACATTTCAACTTGAGGATGTCCCCTGTGTGGAGGGCTCCGTTTACAGGAGCTCCTCTCTCCAGCTCTGCTGGGGAGCTTTTTATTTCTCTCCCTTTACACTCTGAATACAGACTCAGTAGAAACGCTGCGGTCTGCCTGCTGATCCCCACACAAAACGCTACAGATCGTTTAGTAGCGCAGCTCTTCACAAAGCCAAGCTGCGAGAAGTGGAGTGACACTCCGGCGTCTTGTTGCCGAGGAAACGGACCGACGCGGCATTTTTCTTGCCACGTCTATCTAGAGAGGTCCAACGCCAAAGCTGTAACAAAAAACATAAGAGAGCATGTGTGGTGTGTGTGTGTGTGTA